TTTATGTAAAAATACTAGAAGACATTATGCTCACACCTTTTTAGAGTATGTTTGGAAATATATCTCCGCAATTGGAAGTACTTTCATCTATTTTCTACTTTTCGTAGAACCACTTGTAAAGCGTAGATGGTCATATAGCAATTTGTAGATAACCAAACAAAGGTATACAGTTTGGCTGGAAGATGAAGAGGCCAGAGTTAGCCTGAATGTTTTGCTCACCTGAATCAACATCAATGGACTGTCCAAGATCTCTGTAGAGTCAGAAGCATCCACTAAGAACTCCTTTGAGTAAGGAAATGGTGGCTGCATGAAGTTACGAAGTTGATCGAGCCCAACCTCTGCAATGGCTTCTCTAAACACCACCCCTTCAGCTGTGCAGTTGACAAGAATCTTATCTGAAGGCCCTTCAATGAGCCTGCCGGCATAGGGATAGTAATAAACAAGTGCTTTAGCTACTGCATCCCTAATCACCCCAACAGGGTTCTTTTCGTCCAAGAATTGATTATAGCTAAAAAACATAATCATGGGTACATGAAATCTGAGGCCCTTTTGATCGTCTATATCAGAAAGTGGTCTTATTTCATGGGGAGTAGGTTTTGCAGGGACAATCAACTCTGCTTCCTTATGTCTCACTAAAAATTGCATGGCCATTTCTTTTTCTTTCTTGTTTTTTTTGGGGGGGGGGGGAAGTGTAGGGGTGCTACTACAAAATAATTGAAACTTTTAAAAGTTTAGTACCGACTAAGTCTCGTTATATGTTCTCATATTTATAGAATTTTTGAGCGAGAGAAGGAAAATGTGCTATGAATTCTCTATCTCATTTCTTGTTTCAATGTCTATCTCACTCTTGATTTTGTTGGTATGTGTGAGTGTTTTATGTGATATACCCAATATACTAAAATAGTGTTGCAAGGAAAAAAACATGATGAAAAAAAATTAAAAAGATGATAAAGATTGAAAAAAAAAATCGAACGATGAAAAAAAAAACCATGAAATTGGAACGGTTATGTATTTTGGGAACAAAAAGAAAGAAGAAAAAGTATAAGGCAAACAAACAGTCTTTCTTTTTTATGTGCCACATCAACAAATATAATAAGTGGAACTACGTAATTTTGTATTAGACAAGAAAGTAGACACAAAATATTGGACAGAGGATGCCGTCTGATTAGCCACAGACTTGGGAGATGTATAATTGAGCATGGAAAATTAACTTCACAAGTACATGCACCTGGCCGGTGTAACATCTTTGTTTGGTAAAAAACATATTAAAAGAGAGTTCTAGGTTCTCAAAAATACTATTAACCAAATCTCTTCTGATCGGAGTAGGTGGGATAAGAAAATGGAATAGAGACTAAAGAGTTTCTAGATGGAATAAAACACTTTAATAAAAGAAGATAAATGTTTTCACAATTCACAATAATCAAAAGGAATAAGTGGGGTAGGATAGCATCTACCTGATATCGCGAGAGGACAAGACATTGGTCCCTTTTTTCTTTCCTACCGGCTGGTCAAATCTAGAAGGTAATGTGTGGTTGAAGGGAAATGTGGTGATGAGGTAAATTTGTTAGGGTTTTGGACCTCGGACCTCGGCATGGTGGCACGCCTAGGCGCTGACTAGCTATGCTTCAGTCTTTGAATTCTCAATGACCGATGTTGATGGAGTTGTTTCATCGGAATAGCTTCTTTATTGATCACACCTACGGTCCCACCAAGCATGCCACTATATTTGTGCCGATTTTTACCGATCTAGAAACTGTTGCTCATTAAGTGATGGTTGCTAGCATGTCACTTAATTTGTGCAAGGAAAACCTTATGAGTAAATCAATTTGGTGGAAATAACATTGCATCGATTATGCTAACTTCTAGGACAATTGCTATTTGTCCCACCTTGAGCAACCTCAAGGACTTAAAAATTCGTGCTAAGAGTAACCAACTAAGAAGGAAAGAATACGTTGACAATGACCGATGGCTAAAGCTGATGAATTATAAAACACAAAATGTGCTAGAAAACTCATGAAGAATGCTTGGAAATGGAAAGAACTTTCAAACTGGTCTTGCTGATTTGTACAAAGACAAACATGAAACTGTTGGAAATATGAACTAAGAACAAAATGATTAGATGAAAATTCGGAAATCCTAGAAATTAGCCTAATACTTCTAAGAAAGTTTTGGAAATCCTAATTCTAGCATATGATTTCTAAGAAAGCTGTTTAAAAGTAGATAAACATCATATTTGTCATGTCTTTGTGGAGTGAAAAGATTGTTCCCAATGTAATATGACGTGCGCGGAGTATACATATACAATTAAGCTCATCCTAATCAAGTTTTACATTTATAAACTCCTAAATACCCCACACGCGATTTATCGCAAGTATACGAATCGTGAGCGAGTATAGGGTATTAAGGGTCGATCCCACAAGGAAGATTGCAATTACCGGTACTACTAAAGCTTCTCTATTATTTAGACTATCAATGAATTATAACAAATTAAAACCTACTGAAATTATACAAGAAAATAACAAATGAAAGCTCCTTAGGTTGTGGTATCCCTAACTACTCATGCAAGTGCTATATTTGGATCATTAAATACTACATCTAGGCTAGTTATAGTGTAATTTCCTTAAACATGTGAAACCTACTTTCGTAGTGAATCAACTATACTCATAACTAATCCATACCTATTTTCATGGTTATGAAATTAGCTACAAGTTCATTTCTTCAATGAAATTACATGAAATGAATCACTAAAAACCACATAAGTGCACCTCTACTTTCGTGAGTGTACTCCCTATGTTTAGCACTTCTTGAACTAGTGTTAAATCTCAATTTTCATTGCAGAAACAACACCTTAGATAATCACAATTAATGGTACCAGATTAATCATGATTTCAAGAGCTAAAGTGCTAAATAACTTGCTCAAATCATAGCAGTCAAATAACCAAATAATAAACACTAACAATTATAGAAAGTTCAACCAAACCCAAGGTATAAACTTTAGAAACACATAATGAACACAAAATCCAGAACTTGTATATTAACTAAACTTGGAATCAAATACAAAAGATAAAGAGTTTGGAAGGAATACAACCCTTGTCACATGAGCTTTCTTCCTTGCCTTCTTCATCCTCCATCTTCATCCTAATCTAGATAATAAACAAGAATGGAAAAGCTACACTACTCTATACTAAGCTAAACTAACACTAGGGAGATGAAAGAGCTACATTTCTGCAGCTTCAAGCTTTCTCCCGTAGCTCTCTCTATTTTTCTGCTATGAACTCCCCCCTCTATTTTTGCAATGCATTTTGGCTCTTTTATGATGAAAGGTGGTCAAGAAATGAGGATTACATCTCCCTTTTACAGCTGGGAATGTTTCTCACATGTCTAGCATCCAATGTGAGTTGGTGGAGGTGAAATTGATTTTTTACGCGTACAGAGCAGCCTTTTCTGACCAGTGATCCGAGCTGCTACAGTACCTCGGATCCGTATGGATCCGAGTGTGGATCACTTGCTCTGTTTTTGGCCCAACTTCAACCAATCTTTTCTTGATGTTAGAGGCTGAACCAGCTCTTGACCAAAACATAAAACTTGTAGCCCTTTGAGTTAGCTTTCCAATGCATCAAGAATCACCTCATTTGGATCTGTGTAGGCTGAGAAATGACCGAAATACCCTTGCCTGCTCATTGCCCTGTTCCAGTTTCGACCAGTAGAAATTTGCTATTGTAATTCGGCATTTTGACCTGGAAAACCTTCAAACTGGATTTAGATGTCTTCACCAAAGTTGTAGATCTATCTCTTATCTTCAAATGGGTTCAAGAATCATCCCAATCCGATCATTGTAACTCAAGTTATAGCCGAAATACGAAAATATGTCAAAACTGTCAAAATACACAAAATCCAAGTAAAAAGTGATAAAAACCTCATTTAATCACTTAAAAGCATTTTTCACCAATTATAGCCAAAATGATTCATATTCTTCCAATAATATAACCAAAGTGACTAAAAATAATATAAAATGTCATACAATTATTACGTAAATTAGTCACTTATCATAATATATATATGAGTATTTATGGTTGTGTAATTTCCCTCCAAAATCAGCAGTTTAACTCCCTTAATGCCCATGTTATGCTCCATGCTAGCCATATTGGTTTCCAAACGTGTGTAGTGGCTGTCCGCTCCTATATCTTGGAGATCATGCAACTACCTCATGTCTAATTTGTAGGGACATAAGCTAATGCACACATCGTTTCCCTGACCAATTGCCATCGTTGCCTCTACCTTTATCGATACATGATCTACTGTATCAGCTCCTTTTGTATCGACACTCGCACCAATGAACATGTGCCAATATGCCTTTGCATGCATCGATTAGTATGTAAATATTGGTCTTCATTACCAATCTCTCATGGAACCTTTACTACTCATACCTATCAGTTTTAAATCGGTGTCGCTCAGTGGCGGAGCCAGAAAAAAAAATTTTAGTGGGGGCAAAAGTAACACTAAAATTTTTTACCTGCTCTTTTTCTAGTTTTTTAAGCAAAAAAAAAAAAAAATCACCAACAAGCACAGATGATGCATATATTCCATGAAAAACATAAAAAAATAAATTCAAAATTATTAATGTAATAATAATTTTATTTCAAAAATAAACTAAACTATTTACAATTGCTCACGCGAATTTTTATATTTTGATAACTAACTTGGTTGTGGAAATAAGAATGGCTCTTAGTTGTGGAGGGAAAATGGGGGGACCAGTGGAGGGAAGGGAAATTGGGAAGTGGAGACAAAGGAAGTGAATGATATGATTGGATGAATTGATCAAGAGAAAGAGTAGTTAGCGGCTTGGTTTGTGGAAGGTAGTGGCTCTCGGTTGTGGGGTGAATTCTTAGTTTATGATGAAAAAAAAAAAGAATTCTACAACGAGGGCGTTTCCTGGAGGGGTTTCTCTAAATGGGGGTCTTCGCATTTTGAGAATGCGAGCTCAGTGATTTGTGTCTGCTTTATTCAGTATGCTGAGTTTCAAATGATTAAGAATGATCCAGGATGGGAGGAGGATTTTGGAGGAGAGGAGGCGAAACACCTTCAGCTGTTAAATGGGAGGACAGGATCATAGAGATTCGTGAAGGTTCTTGGTCCTACGTTTCTAGTTCGATCGGCAAAGCCCCTGGTATGTGCTTTAATGTAGCTCTTTTTCACTGCTTCCACCTGTTTTGATTCTTCAGTTATGCTGTTTCCTTCTCAACCTCCGTGCTTATTTTACATGCAATTGTCATCTAGTGCAGAGAAAGTTGTAGGCACTGCAACACCTCAAGAACCACCTGAGGAGTGGCAAGCTTCATGGAACATCTCAACAGGAAATGAACTATTAATACGTTGGGCGTCTCCGACATCCAGTTCAGGCTTGAATTTTGTCATAAGAAACAAGGAACCTACTGACAGGATGGTACAGCCCATTTCCGGAATCACTGATTGTCAAAATCACTGATTGTCAAAATCCTTTTTTGTTTTAATACAAAAATATAAATCTCTGCCTCCAAAAAAAAAAAAAAGCAAAAAAATTTGCATCTCTGTAATGCGAGCTCTGTTGAGCTCGCATTTGAGGAGAGCTCGCATTCCAACAGAGCTCGCATTTGAGGAGAGCTCGCATTCCAGGAATGCGAGCTCTCAACAGAGCTCGCATTCGTGAAATGCGAGCTCTCCTGAGCTCGCATTTCACGAATGCGAAGACCCCCGCGACAGAATTCCTCGCCACAATCACCCCTTTTGTAGAATTTTTTTAAAATTCATCACAAACTTAGAAATTTCTCCTCGGTTGTGGGGGAAAAATGGGGGACCAGAGGAGGGAAGGGAAATTGGAGAGTGGGGTCCAAAGAAAGTGAATGATATGATTGGTACTTGCTAATTGAAATGAAAAGACTTTTTTTAACTTATTTTAAATGGAATTTGTGCCCCACGTATCTTTTTAGAATTTTAGTTTATGAACTAATTTAAAAAATCACGTAATTCTTTCGCATCCTTTCTAAGAAAACTCTGGGGGTACACTTAAAATTATATCAAAATTGTATAAGTATTATAGGAATTTAAGGGCCTCCAGTGCCCCACCTTAAATCCGCCCCTGGTGTCGCTACCGATACATTCCTAACTATCAATTTTCAAAGATCAATTACCAATCAAATCCCCATGTGACCTTCATTTGCCGCAATTGATGAACTCCTTGTGATATGGCAGATTATTTCCATGGTGATTATTGATGAACTGTCAGCCTTGAATAGATTTGCTAGCATAATCGGGTTCTTTTCTTTCTTTTATACCTGAACACATCAGCATATCTTTGTACATATTGATATGTGCATGAATATCAGTCATCATGCCAATTATTAATTGGCTCCAAATAGGTGCTACCGAAAAGTTCTTAGCAGCTGATTATGATTAATCAATATCGGGTGAATATCAACCATCATGCCAATTATTGATCGGTTTCAAATGAACGCTGCTGATAAGTTGTAAATATTGCACCAATAATTACGAATAAAACCATAAAATTACATACCTTATCTAAGATATATATAGTACCGCTGAGCTTAGATGATGATCCAACCTATTTCAGAAATAAACCAAGGGAACAACAATTAAATTAAAGATTTTTCCAAAGAAAAGAATACCACTGCAATACTACATCAAAAAAGAGTCCAACTATATAGAGCGACTGAAAATCACAACATTTTTAAACAATAAAGACAAACAAAGGAATCTCTAAAATTAAGGAGATGGATTATCTTTTAGTTTGTGTCATTTGGAGAAAATGTAATTTCAAATGTACAAAAATCTTGATGTATACAAGTGGTAGTATACTTCAATCATGAAATTGCTTGATTTGTACTCTGATTATTCTTGAGCACGAACTCGAATTTCCCACTTTGGTGTACACCAGTTCGTCTCACTGGATTTTATTATAACAATTTTATTGTTGCTAACAGAAACCCACAAAAGAAAAAGGAATCACAATTCAAAATTTCAATAAAGTCAAGTAGACATATAATTCCCGAAAAGACCCAGATAATGATTTTCTTTTTTTTAGGCAAACTATATATCTTTTCGATAAACCAAGAGAAAATACAAAAAGCAGAAGGTTTGCATTGCAAGTGCAATATGCACTGTAGCACAAAAGTCGACAACCTATTATTTAGCAATAATAAAATGAGTAAAACGCAAACAAGATTTTATTATTGCTTTAAAGCATAGATATAATCTTTGGATGCCAAAATTTGTTGCATTCGTCCATTGGCCCCTTGATCATTTTCTCCATCTCCTTCTGAAAATTTTCCATGGCTGCAACTGGCAAGCAAACTGCCACCACCAACCCATCATTTCCTTGGGTATTTCGAAGTCGCGAATAAACTGTCATATTAAAAGTTGGTCCTCCATCCATAGTTCCACCATAAATTGGCTTTCCCCAGCCAAAATCTACCTCGTCAATTCCAGTTCTTGATGCATCCGAAACAATCCAATCCTTTAACGACGTAGAATACCCTGGTTTCCCATGCAAGACACTATAGTCAATGGCTGACTTGATGAAGTCCTCAGTTACTTGATGTTTTGCTTTCTTCACTAGCTGTAATGCATAGACAAATGAATTGTTGCACAGCTGGTTGACCTTTGAGACTGCAGCGGAAGAGACAAATCCATTGCCATAATAACCACTAGGCAACTTTGGTTTATTTTTACCACGAACATTGACTGCATAGGTAAGAGTAACGATTTCTTCAGGATCCAATTGTAACGCTATTGTTCTTGATCTCCATACCAGTGCAGTTACCAGATCAAATCTTGATGCCTGACGAATGTTTGGTGGTAGGTATTTCTTGATGGCTTTTATCTCTTGTGGTCCGAAAAAAAAGCCTTTACGTACAAGGTTAGGAGGGGAGTCCAATATTGTAGGCTCAGTGCTACTATTACTGTTTTTCTCCACCTCGAACTCGTTATGCACACATGTGACGTATGGTGGATTTCTTGCACTTAAGAGCCATCTTTGCCACACAGGTAATGGAGAAGGTGCTGATGATGGGTCTTTGGATATTTGGCTTACTGCATTCAGAAACTGGACTAAGCCAACTGCATCACTAATTGCATGGTTTATGCGAATTCCAAGGACAAGTCCACCACAGATCAAGCGAGTCACCTGAATTTTGGCCCCAAAAGAAATGAAAATGATAATAAGAAAGTTTTCAAGCAAAGTTTGTAAATAAGTAGGGATTTTGGAAAGTATAATTGGAGCTTTCTAGTAAAAATTCTTCAATACAGTGAGAAACTTCATTTTAATGATAACTTTATCTACTTAATATTGTGCAGCTAATTCTATTATTATTAGCAGCAAACTACACAGAATAGCCACTAATATAGCGACTTTGTGCGTTCAGTGCCATTTTGAAATAAAAAAAAAAATAGTTGAATGACTAATGTATAAGATTTCAATAATACAATGGTCAGTGGAGTTTTTTGTCCTAATAAGAAAAAAATGTTATAGATCCACTAGTATTTAGATTGTTTCCTTATATTTACTCAGTTAATCTTCCGACAGATTCACATAGTCCTACTCCTCCATAACTACTTAACTACCACTATTTTAGAGTATAAATTACTAATAACCCCGTAGTCTCTTATGCTATCATGTAACTCCTTTAGAGTTTCAAAATATCTATAAACTTCCTTGTGTTTTGATATAGAGTGAAAATTTGACGGAAAACAGTCTCTGATGTTATTAGAAGAAATGGTAGTATTGTCCGTGTTTAAATATTAAATGAAACAAAGATCTATCCGTCTATACAATCATAGACGGATTATGTAAATAGATGCAAAATCATAAAGGGTTCAAGACTCAAGTGAATATTTATGTAAATATACAAGAGGGTTAAGTGGACATTATAATATCCTCACACAGGCTTTTAGAGTATGTTTGGATATATATCACTGCAATTGGAAGTACTTTCCATCTATTTTCTACTTTACGTAGAACCACTTGTAAAGGGTAGATGGTCATATAGCAATTTGTAGATAACCAAACAAAGGTATACAGTTTGGCTGGAAGATGAAGAGGCCAGAGTTAGCCTGAATGTTTTGCCCACCTGAATCAACATCAATGGACTGTCCAAGATCTCTGTAGAGTCAGAAGCATCCACTAAGAACTCCTTTGAGTAAGGAAATGGTGGCTGCATGAAGTCACGAAGTTGATCGAGCCTAACCTCTGCAATGGCTTCTCTAAACATCACCCCTTCAGCTGTGCAGTTGACAAGAATCTTATCTGAAGGCCCTTCAATGAGCCTGCCTGCATAGGGATAGTAATAAACAAGTGCTTTAGCTACTGCATCCCTAATCACCCCAACAGGGTTCTTTTCGTCCAAGAATTGATTATAGCTAAAAAACATAATCATGGGTAAATGAAATCTGTGGCCCTTTTGATCGTCTATATCAGAAAGTGGTCTTATTTCATGGGGAGTAGGTTTTGCAGGGACAATCGACTCTGCTTCCTTATGTCTCACTAAAAATTGCCTTGCCATTTTTTTTCCTTTCTTGTTTGGGGGGGTGGCGGAGGGGGAAGTGTAGGGGTGCTAATTGAAACTTTTAAAAGTTTGGTACCTACTAAGTCTCGTTATGTGTTCTCATATTTATAGAACTTTTGAGCGAGAGAATTAAAATGTGCTATGAATTCTCTCTCTCATTTCTTGTTTCAATCTCTATCTCACTCTTGATTTTGTTGGTATGTGTGAGTGTTTTATGTGATATATCCAATATACTAAAATAGTGTTGCAAGGAAAAAAACATGACGAAAAAAATAATAAAAAATGATAAAGATCGAAACAAAAAATCGAACGATGAAAAAAAAAACCATGAAATTGGAACGGTTATATATTTGAGCACGGAACTAACTTCACAAGTACATGCACCAGGCTAGGATGACAACATTTGGTGTTTTAAGCCTGGAAACTTAACTTGACAAAAACACTTTGGGCCCTGGCCAGTATAACAACTTCATAATGGGGTTTTATTTCACTATCAAGACAGGAAAGGGTGAGAATTGAAGCAAAGATAGAACATATTGCAATGTGCGTTTGATCAAATTGAAGTGTAAAATATGAAATATGAAATCTAAATTTATTAAATTATTAAATTATTAAATATTAAATCTAATTTATTTGAGTGCATATTACATTCAATGATAAGTGGATAGTTTATCACTTAATTTTGGGAGCAAGTTTTGCCTAGAAAATTCAACGTCATTTAATTAATTCATATGTTTAATTTTTGGTTATCAAACGATCTGGATATATTAAAACCTGATTCAATTAAATTTAAATACTGAATTAGATTATTAAACAGGACCTAACTCATCAATATCCTACAAAGGAAGAACATATTACAATGTGTGCAGATACACTATTACAATTTGCCATGAAAATCTGAAAAGTCTGGTAGCGTGCGTCATTCCCTAATCCAATGAAAATGCCAGATGATACACTATTTCAACAGGTAAGGGAACCATTCTGAT